CCCACGCCCCGCCCCGCACTGCCAGCGCGCATGCGCCACCGCCCGCGCCCACCAGCGCGCAGGCGCGCCCAGCCCCGTGCTCTGCGCCTGCGCCAGGATGGGGAAGGGAAGGTGGGGGGGGGAAGTCCCAACTGGCGCAGGCGCAGTGCGGGCTGCTCCGGCAGGCCACGTGACCAGATGCAGGGAGTTGCTCTCCACCCCCTGGTCCTGGCGCCCCTGGGTTAGGGGCAGGGGTGGTTCTCCCCCTCGCGCCTCTTGTCCCCTTCTCTGGGGTTTGTCAGCTGAATACAGCTGCAGAGAAGGGGTTTCCCTGCCCGAACTGGGGAGGGCGGCTGACATGGGCTTGCAACCCGCAGTGTTTCCCTGCTAAAAGCAGGAGCGTGCAAAATGCCACCCTGCACCAGACTCCGCTTGGGAGCAGTAGGCAATAACACGATGCACCCTGAAGGCCTTTTGGGGAAGCCCTGGTCCCTGAAAAAAAGCAGCCGCCTTTCCTTGCAAGACATGGTTCGTTGGGTAAATCTGATATCCTTTATTAGACCAATTCAAATCGTTGGAAAAATTGGGGGGGGGGGGGGGGGGGGTTTTTTTCAACCGCTTGCTGCTAAGAATTTTTCCAACTACGTGAGTTGGTCTAATACAAAATATCTAATTTACCCAAAGAACCTTGTCTGCCTATGTCCTTAGACCAACACGGCTACAACCTATACTTCTCTCTCTGCAGGATGCATTACTACTAGAAGAAACCCTTTTAAGAAGGGAAACACTGTGAAGACTACCCAGATAAGGGCACCAGAGACCCAGACCTCCAGATCAGATTGGTACAGCAGTGGGCATCAGTGCCATCTTCTGACGAACACGCCATACTGCACCTGGCAGGGGTTTCCTATAGCCAACCACAGTGGAAAAGCCCTATTACATCACCCAGCCCAGCCTTCTGCTCCTATGGGAATACTCCCGTCTCACCACGCTCAAACCTCCCAAGTTAAATTTTAAAAATATTTAGGAAATGGAACTTCAGTCTGTTCCCCAGGGAAACTCTTACACAAGCTGGACAGATTGCACCGCAGCAAGCCCCAGCCTTCAGCATTTGGTCCCACGCAAAAACAGGCGTGCCATTCTCTGTCATCATAGAATATAGTTTATTTGTGGCATTTTACAAATAACTTTACAGTTCACATGGACATAAGTTATGCTCTTGATTTCAACAAGTATTTCTTACAACACCTGAGTTATTAAAATACTGAGATGGAACTTGAGCTTCTAATCAGACATGTAAAGGGAAATAGGGAGAAAACCCCACGCAAACTCAGACAAATGGCAGTTTCCTCTCTCATCACCTCCCCCCCCCCCAAAAAAAAAAAAAAAAGAAAAGAAAAAAAGGTTTGGACCATCCCATGAGTTAAAAGCAGATAATGTCCCCTTCCAGCACCCCTGTAGTGCATGCATTGGTTACCTGCATCCCCCAAAACCTATTACTACAAGCTTGGAGAATCTTTTTGAAACGATATCACAGGGAACTCTCTAAAAGAATTTGTGTTTTCATTAAGAGCTTTGCTTCGTGAGCAACCTCTCTCAATTTCCAGGTTGCAAGCTTCTGAATCAACTCAGCTGCCAAGAACACTTGGAAGGGAACTAGACAAAAAAAAAAAAAAAGAGACTGGAGATCCCTGTCCCTTTTTTTTTTAAAGGCTTGTAACAGCCCAAAGGAGGTTAAACAGCTCTTGACCAGGCTTTCTACCACCCAGAAGTCAGCTGCACTTCTAGTCCTTGTTTACAACCATTTCTGAATTGGGGATCCTTCCTACGGGAGAGGCAGAGGTGCAAAGTACTCTCTTTTGCCTATTGCTAAACCATCCTCGTCAAAGTTGGACTAGCCTTGGCAGTGCTAAAAAGCAGTAGTCTTCCGTATGGAATACACTGGGTGGTGCTTTCCAGGCACTTCCTTGGGAGAAAATGGGTAACTTAGTACTCACCCCTTAAAAAAAAAAAAAAGAAGGGGTTTAAAGACGCTGTCAATTCAGAAACAGGGCTGCAGCTCTCACCCCCCACAGCGTATGCTCTTTGTGCCATGAGCAAGGGCAGTTCCCCTTTGTACTGTTCTTAGAAGCTGGCTGCTTCCTCAGTCACTTCGTTGAAGACAGGTCCCATCCTGACCATCAGTGACCTCTATGAATCACAGCACCAACCCAATTTCTTTCTCCCCTCAAACTGGGTAGCAGGAACCCCACCATGGAGTTTTGATCCTGGAGAGAACATACTACAGCACCCAGAGGCCCTTATTAAAACCCGCTGATGACCAGGTCAAGGATGGGTTTTGCAAAACAATCTCCACTGGAGGGTTTGTCTCGAGGTGTCCCTAACAGGGCCAATCTTTTTAAAGCATTTGCTTCTGAGGTTCTGCAAAAAGGTGATATCAACCAATTGGTTGTAGGTGATAAAACCTACAGGAGAAGCACTGGACAAGGATTTCCTCCAGGCAATGAGCAAAGACACACAGCCCAGTTACAAAGGGTGTTGCAGGGTTCTACTGCAACCTCCACCTTCCTACACATGCACGCGAGGCCAGGGCAAGGGTCAGGATTGGGGCATGCACACTTCACTCAGCTGCCTCTGCCTGGTAAAGTGGTTAAGCTGGTGGGATGGGACAGATGGCTGGCCTCTACAGCAGATAGTGATTCGGATGCGAATGGAATTCAAGATACAGATGCTGACCTGCTTCGGACCTGCGTCTTAGAAACCAAATTCAGGTAAGGGGTAGGCTCGTTTATTGGCCTAGAAAAACTCCAGTTCTTTGGGCCTGTGGGACCAATGGCAGTGTTATATTCTAATGGGAAATGGAGAAGCCAGGGGGTCAAAGGGCTTTTTATGTCAACCGCTGGAGAAAGGGAAAGATGTTCAACAATTACCTGAGCAAGTCAGAGGGCACAGTTATTGCAGGGCGAACGGCTGACAAGTCACAGTCCTGCTGGAAGCACAGTGCCTGCACCAGGATATATCCAGAAGACTTGGATCTCCTATCCCTTTAGTCCCTCCAACTTCAGCTTGCCCCTCTATGTCCCCTTGGCTAGCTCAGGAAAAGGGAAGCCTGTGCCTGTGAGCTGTAATGCGGTCAAGACCTGGGGTATGATGAGCAGACAGAGCCTCAGCTTCCATCTGATGGCAGGAAGGAGGAGGAAACATGGACAAGAGCTCCTGCTCAGGCTCTGCACTGAAGACAAGATGATGGAGATGATGCAGTTTGATGCATCTCTGACTGCTTGCTAGATGAGTGACTGGACAACAGCTGTCCCTCGACATACAGAACAAAGCCATCCAGGTAGCAGGGAACACCTGAACAGATTGGCAGCAAACTCTCTGCCTGCCTCAGAGTAATAATACCAGGCTCCTCTTTAATGCTTTTCCTCAGTAAATCCCATACACAGCACAAAGGATGCCAGTATTATTTTCCCCACTTAGCAAGAGGGGAAACTGAGGCAAGAGGCACTGTAGCGACTACCCCAAGATCACCCAGCAGGCCAGCAGCATACCTAGAGATAGAACCCATGTATACGAGACAGTCCAGTGCTCTGCCCATTAAGATACCCTGCCTCAAGTCACTTTGCTCACAAAGCCACAAATTCACAGCTACGGGGTGCAGAATCAACTGATGGGGGTGGGGCGAGGCAGTGAGAGCAGCCTCGTTCCCCACCCAGGCTGATGAGGACAACGTTATCAATATGATAATATATCAGTTCACCTAGTGAACCTGGGAAAAGCCAGCCCAGAGGCAGGCACCTGGGCAATGCCTTAAAACACATTTCATCCCTCCCACAGCCCCCAAGGCTGGGCTTGAATCCCATGCCCCCGCCATCCTGGAAGCACGAGTTCTGATGACTGCAGCATCTCAACCCCCCCAGCCTTCCCTCTGCCACTCTGCAGTGGTGTCTATTTAAACTAAAATGCACAACTCCAAGCAACACCGTGAACTTGTCATGCCCCTGGTGACCAGCACCAAGGGACATGCTCCCATCCCTCCTACCTGCCCCACAGCTCAGAGAAGCCATCTCTGCAATAGTGAGGTTTTACAGTATCTTTGCATCAGAGCACAGCTGCCCCTTGTTTTCCCCACTCCCCCAGGTCCACAAAATGTGATCCAAGGGTCCCTGGACTATTTCTCTTGGCAGTGGGAAGTCAGGGGAGGTGGCAGCATCTGGTTTTTCTTCCTCCCCACAGCACCTCCCACCCCAGAAACATTTGTTATCATAACTCTGACCTGCAGATGCTACTTGTCTAGTTTCCTATGCCCCCAAGGAAGCAGCATGCCTCTTCCCAAAGCCAGTCTGACCACATGTCAACACATTGCCCCTTCTTCCATGAAACTCAGTGCAGTGAGGATTGGACAGACAGCAGAAAGAAACCAAAGCAACAATAGCTGTGATGAGCAAGGTGTCTAGCCTTGAGGCCACAGTGGCCTGGCCAAGCCAGTACCTAACACTATGCCAGAGAAGGGTGGATTCCAGCATAACTGCAGGAAACTTGCTCCTCCTCTCATCACAAGCCATCTGCCTGGACCCGTCAACTTTGTCCCCCACAGCAATCCTCCAGCCCAGTGAATCCTGCAAACAGCCTGCTTGGACAGCACAGCTCTGTGGACCAGTGGGGACATGGATCTTTGGGAAAAAGCTGTCTCCTGTGTGAGTGGAGCGCTAGAGGCTGTCAATGACAGTGAAGCTGTCCTAAGACCACCCTCTGTCCCAACTTCCAAACCCCACATTTCCACTGCCTGCAGATGGACAGCTCCAAGCATCAGCTTGGGGGAGGCAGCCTCATATCCGGTGCTGATGATCTATCCGATCCCCTTCTGTGGCTGCTCCAGCAGGAGGGGAGGAATGCAACATGTCCACGGTAGGAGATGAGGCAGCCAAAGGAGCCAGCAAGTCTGTTCTGATTCTCACTCCCATCCATCCCAGGAGTCCTTCTGATGCTAGGAGAGGAGGGGAAGGGATACTATGCTGGGAATGGGTCCTTGGGTCAGTTTAGTTCTACAGCAAGGTGCTCGGGTAGAGTCCCTTCACTAAGTGATACGTAGTCTATGGAATAGTTTCAATAGCAATGCCTCTGTTTCTGCAGTGCTGTGCGATGCCCATGCCCCGCAATGGTCCGGTCAGTCCCTATGTTTGCAGCTGAAGATGCTCTTTGTGCCAGCCATCCCTACCCTAATTGGATCTGGCCCGAGTACATGGTGAGCAGCACCATGATGGCGAACCCGGTCAGCAGCCCTGCATTCTGGATGGCGAAGGCGATGAGGGCGCTACCGTTCCGCTCATCCTCCCGGCTCACTTCATTCATTTCAGGGAACTGAAGGAAGGAGAAACAGAAACCGTTAAATGCCTGGAATTCCTCTCCCCAACCCTGACCCATCAGCCTGAGAACTGGCACCCAATGCATCCTGCACTGCACCCTCTGGTCCATCCCCAACTGTTAAATTCCCACAAGGCTATTTACGACCACCAGGCCCTGGATCATTGATGCATGGAGCAGCCTGCCCTTCCCACACTGCATCCCGGAACAGAAGAGGCAATAGGGAGACACACACCGAAACACATTTCTACAAGGAGGACTTAGCCCACCACAAAGCAGTTCTTCGCAACTGTTTCAGCCCTGTACCCACCAAAACAGAGGGCTAGACTCAATCATATCCAACCTCTTAGGACTAAAGCATGGCCACAGCAGGGCCCTAACTCCTCTGGAGGATGCCATGCAGGTTGTCAAGGTCAAGGGTGGCAAGACCCTGACTTTAGAGCTGCACTGAAAAACCAACAGTTCCCCTGGGTTAGAATCCCCTATGCGTCAGGTGAGGACACAAAGTCAGTGTGAAACCACAGCCACCAGCAGCATCTTTTCTGGACATCTAAGTGACCCATGAAGGTCACCTTCCAGTACCACTCTCAAGAGTAGGGGCAGACCCTGGTTTGCAGGATATAGTGTTGCCAAGTTCAGCCATGTTCTTGTAGCTCCCACAGCCCTGTGTCCTCAGGACCCTGCAGTGGAAGAATAATCCTAAGGAAGGGCTTGCTACACTCTCCATAGGTGTCCAGCAACCTAAAAGTGCAACCTTCCAGTGGTCGCTAGAGAAGACTCTGCTGCACGGTTCCGACCCCCCACCTGATGACTTGGGATTTACCATATCGGCTAGTGCAATGTAGAGGAACATCCCGCCAGCCAGAGCAAAGATCCAGTTGGCAGAGAAGTGGCTGCCGGCCAAAATCCCAAAGGCGAGCCCCAGGTAGCAGCAGCAGGGCGAGGTGGAGGTGAAGA